CATTACATGTCTTCAGGGACAGAGCTACGTTTCCAGACTGGCTTAATACATGGCCGATTTATACACATGGGCGAACACCTGACGTACCAAAACTGCGTGTGCATGCGAGCGTATGAAAACTGCATGCGCCAAATGTTTCCGGCCTGCTTTGATGTACTTCAAGAATGTACGTTCAGATCACACGAATTGAACGTACGTTCTTAACACACGTCTAAGCAGACCTAGTTTTCATATCCTCGCGTGCGTATGTAATTTTCGTACTTCAGGTTTTTGCCTGATCGTAAATCTGGTACTTGTTGGACCGACACCACAAGTCCATGTTGATGTGTCACAAAGGCTTTGCCTTACAAAAAAGTTATTATGTACTATTTTCAATGACAAAATACTGGTAGTTGATGGTACATGTACTGCAAGTATGTGCCAGGGACATTCCGGCATATTACAGTACATTGTACAATATGTAGTAATGTTTTACAGTGTGTGTGTGTAGGTGTGTAGGATTCACACAGAGTGAACAAGAATTCTGAGATTTCATACCTCCATGAAATATGTAGAGTTTATGTATAGTGCTTTATACTAGTGAATTCAGTGCGTGTCTTTTATTCTCAATGACATATTTCTTCATAAAAACATAATGCTATGAATATGGCTTTCGTTATTACAATGGAGACTAACGAATCAGCACTAACTAAGATTGCAGAAGAAATTGAATCCTGCTTGCATACTGCCATACAGTCGAAAAATAAAGCGCACACCCATGGATAAAAGTATCATTACAGGAAAACAAGTTAGACAAGTCAAGACAATGATGGTGCAAATTAGAATCGACAATGCGTGGAGAAGTATACCTGGGGGATTTGTTCACATCTTACTGAATATCTTTGTGTATTTTGGTCACAATAATCTCTACAACCAATGGAAATACGTTTTTCTTTTCATTACTGCACATGTCAAACCTACAGGTGGTTTAAATCACTTTTTTTTTACACAGAACGACAGTAATTACACAAGCAATTTTGATTATTAGCATGTACATCAGAGTTGAAAGATGAGAAAGGAATGTTGTCTAAGACCTGTTATTAGTATCTCAGGCATGTACCAATTTTATAAGGGAGGTAAGAAGAGCTACAGATTGCAATCTGTAAGCCTTCAATTATAATACAAATGATGCTATTCTATATTACTGCACATTGAATTCAATGAACGTTAATGTGGACTTCTGTCAAACTTATGGTGGTTTAGATCGCGAAAGAAGATAATTACAGAAGCAATTTCGATAATTTAGCATTACATTGATAGGTATTTAGCATGCTAATTATGCATGCTAATTACCTGTCATAAAAATTAGCATACTAAAGCATAAACATGCAAAGTACCAGAGTTGACAGACCTGTTATCTCAGGCATGTACCAACCTTGTGAGGGGAACAAGAAGAACTACAGATTACAACATGTAAGCCATTAATTATAGAACAAAACAAAATAATGCTATGAGGACTGCTATGCTATCTGGATACCTATTGTACCTGTGTATACCGATTTTGGATGTTTGGAATTGAAGTTGGTTTGCTCATTTTGAGGCTGCCCCCCCCCTTCACAACTTGGACGATTCTTTATGAAACTAGTTCTTCGCACAGGTGTCTGTCCGCCCAGTTTGTCTGCAGAGTCAGAAGGAACAGGTGTCTTCATTTTTGACGGTAAGAAGTATCTATTTTATATTGCTATTTCCGTATATAGAAATCGGCAAACTAGTTTGTTCCACATGATTCTAGACGAAGTAGGGCGCGATATGTCCAGAAAGCTGGCTTTCTTTGTAAAGAAATTCTTCTCTGTTTTTCCTTGTAAATAAAATCTTCTCTGTACTCTGCTCATTCGTGTGGAACAAGCACGAAGTCTTTTCTCAGCTTCCCGAAGTATTGTGGCTTGACGCAAATGTTCACGTTTGCTGTTTGTTTTTGTTTTTTCCCTATAGATACACAGCACGTTACAAGTTGAGTTGTGAAGATGAGAGTTGCCTACCTCCTGTGCCTGGTCCTGACCACAGCCGTGGTTCAGGGAAACCCCCGAGTGAAGCGAGATGCCGGTATGCTTACTAGTATATCCTAATCTGCAAAGTGTATTAAACTATTGCAGGCTGTTTTAAATGGGAACTAAAGTTTAAGAAATGTATTGTTTGTGACTTGTGGGGTTAAGCAGCAGGGAGTTGGGTTCTGGCTAGCCTGGGTACCAAACCTTAGGGGGTGAATTTTCTTCCCCGGATAATTACTAGGCACAGCCGATCTATACCCACGGACCTATCCAACTGGTTTTCCTGCATAAAGCTACCCCCGGCGTTCGGTAATTGGGTCCTTGTTTGGCGGTCCGTGACGCTACCGACGTCGAAGAAATAGCGCTGAGCTCACGGGGGTCTTGTTACCAGACTAGGTTCCGCCAAAACTAAAAATCCAGCCGAGAAGTCCGACCATGACCCTGTCTCTGAAGACACGAGCCTTGGACGTCATTCCTCATGTCCAACAGGCTTACGAACTCATCATACTAGAAGTCTAGAAGCAGGTGTTATTTTCTTTGAAAATATATATTATGAATAGGAAATGAACAAAATGTTGTGTTGCAAAATTTCATCACAGATTAACGAAAATCCGGCAAGCTCATATAGCTGCCCGCATGTATTCCCCGCGATACCAAGACAAGCACGGCACCAAGCCCAGAACAAGTCGGCACCATAATTGCTCAGCAAATAATCAGTATTTTGGCTAAAAAACGATTTTTATCATTTTGATGATCCTGACTCTAATTCTAACCTTTTTTTTCCTTTTAAAGGCATCTTTAGCGACGGCAACAGCGAACTGATATGTTTGTGATTTCTTTACAGCTGATCCGCAAAACAACGAGCTCGCGAGAGGAGAGTTCCTGTCCGATCTTGCGAAATTGTATTCTCTTGTAAAGCGCGGCGGCCCCCTGGATAGCCCAATGCACGATAAAGGGCTGAAAGCCGCACTGGCCGTGCGCGAGTTTCGGGAGACCCTTGAAGCTTGGGACGTAAGGAAGGAAGCTCAAGACCGGAGGGAGAGCGTCTTGTCCGATCTGCAAGAGACCGTCGGCTACAAGAAGCAAGTCGCCCGCGAAGGGGAAGCAAGCAAGACCGGGTTGAAGGCACGAGAGAGCCGCTTCCTGAACGACCTCCAGGAAACCATGCAGTTTATCCGAGAAAAAGATCTAGATGCCTGACCTCAAGAAAGCAGGTGAAGAAGCCCACGAGTTTCTGAAATGGCCAAGCTTAGAAGATGATTCAGGGCAAAATTGAAGAATATTAATGAAAGGAAGATCTCTGAAAAATCATAGTCTTGCCCCGTAGTTGTAGGGCCGATGTTAGTGGCATTAACATTTGTTTCGGGGTGTTTTATTGTTTGACTGGTAAAGGGTTACGGAGACTGACGTTTAACGGTGTAATTTATAATCCTAGTTATGTATGACCTTCATAAAAAATATGATTGGAATGTATATAATTAATTAGCGATAAACATTTCAAACATCTAACTGTAGGACCTACACGAGTACAGTTGCAATTTAGTTTGGGAATATATGAAAGTTACTACATGTACTACTCCGCAGATATCGCTTTCCCTAACCATGTACTTCAAGTATTGGTGTATTAAAAGTAAAAAGTCAAGGAATTTTTTTGTTTCTGTGTATTGCATTTAGATTCAATATAGCTGAGGCAATTACCACGCTAGAAGATGGCCTGCCTATAGCAAAAACATGTATTGATGCTGTACTTAGGCCACAGCAAGTGAGTTTAATGATAGGTAGATAGTCAGGTCCTCCTCTTGGTATTTCACATTGTAAATTAAGGTGGTCTGTTACGCCGAAGGTACAGATGCAGAAAGGTTGTTGGTAAATGGTAATGCTTTATACCAAATTTTCTTCTCAATGACGCATTGCTTCATAAGAACATAATCCTTTTTTGGACATGCCTTTCTTTATTACTATGTACACCAATAAATCAGCATCAATATTGCAGAAGAAAGTGCATCCTCCATACGATCCCCTCAAAAGCACCTACTCATGGATAAAATTACCATTGCATGAAAACTAGTTGGACAAGTCAGGACAAGGATGATGCAAATTAGTCAGTTGCATGGAGAAACAAGAATTCTGAGATTTCATACCTCCATGAAATATGTAGAGTTTATGTAAATGTTTTGTTTCATTGAATATGGAAATAAGGTGGCAATTGATATAATGTAGTTTAATTTATGGTGTTCTAAACTCAACTTACAATATTTTGCGTGTCAAACTCCTATCCTTTGGCAATATTTCACTTAAACATCCTCATTTAAACTTCCTTATAAATTATGCAAATTGCCTCTATATTAACATAATATATGCATAGTGTTGTTAACATTTAAGTAACCTACATGTCACAAGGTACAGAATTGCCATCATTCACCATTAAGAAATCATATAATTTTCGCAAACATTATGCAAATTAGGTCATCATTTGCATAATTGATATCTGTTGACGTCTGTCATAGATTACATATATTACATGTATGAAAGTACTATAATGTAATTATAGAATTTCCTCATTAATTATGCAAATTAGGTCCTCATTTGCATAATTTGCATTTAATCGTGTACATCTCTCTCTCAGCTACCTAAGTACCAAAAATGATGAAAATATGTTGTTCCTATCTGGAAAGTCCCCTGCAGTTCCAGAACAAGCTGGTAGGGGGACCAAACCCACACCACTTATTTCTGACAGGAAAAGCTATCTGTCACTTACTAACATACCAAATGTCATCACAATCCATACAGGCATTCTGAAGTTATGCTGACCACAAAGTTGCGGAAACACACACAGACAGACAGACACACACACACAGACATACAGACAGACACGCCAAAAACAATACCTCCATTTTTCATGGAGGTAAAAATAAGATTATCACTTCAACTTAGACGGATGTTTTGCTATTAACACCAAGTCGTGTTAAAAAAAGCATGGCACTTACCAAGTACTGTAGCCTTTGCCTCTCTGATTCTGGAGTGAAGTCTCTAGACATTGGGATGGCCTCACCATTCCTACATAGAACTGCTCTGGAGAACACAAGACACAACGGATATTGTAAGTTTTAGATAAACAAAGGTAAGGTAATACACACATGTATTCAAATGAAAGCTCACCCCCAGTATCTGTGTTCAAC